GAGTTTCTCACAGTTGGTGCCAGAAAACTATAGCAGCATTGAAAAAGCAAGTAAAAATACAGGAGCTGTGTGTCAAAAAACAATCAATTATAAAAAATCAAAAATCAAGTAAAATATTTAAAATTAACATAAAAAAATCATGTACTGAAGTCTAAATGGGTTAAACCATTGTCCATCATAAATAAAATTTCACCTACTGTAGTGCAAATTAACAACAACAAAAAAGTGGGTCCACACATCACAATTAAAGTTCTGGCCTAAAAATTAAATAATGTTCCTTTCTTTTTCATTTAGTTTATCTTACAGAGGACAAGAAATGCCCAATTGCACCCAAAATTATCCTCTACGGACCTTGGATTTCAAGTGCAAATACGGTGCTACAATTTTTGTAATTGGTTTATTGCTTATGCTTGCTTTGCTTTGCATTTTGTGCTTAGTAAAAAATATGTGTTGTGTGTGTTATATTTAAAAACATCATAATACCGAAGCTCAAGCAAAAATAAAAAAGGTTAGTGTAAGTATTTAAAATAATACGGCCAAAAGCATCAGACATTATTCCAATTGAATAAGGGCTATGGTTTCAATATGAAGAATTCTCATAATTCAAAAAGGGTAAAAATATGGTTTGGGGCTTTTATGTTTTTTAAATATTTGGAAAAAATTAGGGGTACATGACTATACATATGGAAGCACCTCTAAAATGAAGGTATAAATCAAAGGAAACAATACATTTGACTACTTGTGGAACAAAATGAAAAAAAAAACAGGACCAAACAAAACCAAATGTAAAAAAACCCACAACGTTTAAGGTAAAATTTAAAATATGACCGAAAAAAATGTAACATGAAAATATATAAAGCCAAAAAATTTAAAAGAGCAATAAAAATATTTGTACATACTAAAAAAAAGGTCACCTAAGGTTTGTTTTTATTATAACTAAATTTAAGCTAAATATAAGTACTCTAAACTGTACCTTTTAAAGCTTAAAATTTAATGTAGTCACCCTAAATGTGACTAATAAACAAAAACTGGCTAATACTCATGTGAAATAAAATAAATCAATGGCTCTTAAGTTATAAAAATATGGTGTAAATACAAATCCTTCCATAATAATCAAATTAAGTTGCTTTAGGAAAATTAATGGGGGAATATATTTTCAAAAATATGGTCTTTTTTATGTTTCTTAATAAAATACCAGTAAACAAAATCGCACCAAGAATCACGGCAGACGAGCACCCATGTAGGAGGGAAAAAGTAATCAAAGCCCCAACTATTGTAAACCAAACAATATGGTTAAAAAAAGTGCAAGTAAACGTAAGTGCACAACAGCCAAAGTGTACACCATATGCCTTGCCTCTATTACAAGCATGGCAACAACAATAAAAAAATGAACTATACAAAATAAAAAAGGTACAGAAAAATATATCATAGGTAGCATTGAAGATGAAGTTTTAAACTCATTTAATATTAAAACGTTACCAAACAAATGTCAGCTTTGGGTAAAATTTGGGGGGCTATACAGACACATGTAACACAACATTTTGGTGCATTATCGAAACAAGGAATAAGAAGTGTGGATCTCCAGTTAAAACAAGCCCAAACCTTAGAAACGTCTCTAAATGTAAATCTATTTGGTGTGTCTAAAATTAACAATAAAACTTTACTAGTAATACAATGTGTACAAATGCAAACTATAAAATATAGTACATTAAAAAAATGGTTAATCTGCTAAGTATTTGGCAATGGCCTTTTAAATGGTTCCAAAATCCTCATATATAAAATCAACAAATTACAAAATAAAAAAAACATATATAAAGTTTAATTAAAATCAAGCCACTCTGAGGGGAAAGTAAAAAGCAGCCGTGGCCTGGAAGTTGCCAAAAATTATTAATAAAAAGTGAATAAAAATAAGTGAAACATAATTAAAATACAAATTAATAAAATTAACAAAACATTGTAAAAAGTAAAAACAAAGCAAATGGGTGTGCCCACAACTAACTTGGTCCCTAGAGAAATGTCATTTAAACCATTTAAGCAAACAATGTACCCTGCAATATTTAGCCACGAATGGCAAAAAAGTGTTTAATTTAGACAATGGGTGTATCTGTGTGGTAACCACTAAAAACGTGTATTTAAAAAAAGTATAACAAAGGCCCAATTAAGTCATATTAATGTAATTAACAAAGGTCATTATTAATAAAATTATTTACCGACGTCCTCAATTTTTTTTAAATAGTTTAAAAACCAAAAAATGTAAACTGGTCCTTCAATTTAAAAATACATTGGAAACAATAAAAAAATTAATAAAGGCAAAAATCAGGCAATATACAAAAATATTATCTAAGTCTGCTCAGCTAAAAAAAAACAAACATTTTGCTCCACAATGATCAAATATTAAACATCCTATTGTCATATTATTTGCATTACTAATTTTGTTAACCTTTATTATGCTCTGTTTATACTACCGAATAAAAAAGCAACAAAAAATGTAAAGCAAGGAATATATAAAATTAAATTGCTTGCAAAATTGTAAAGTAATACAATAATTAATGGCATTAATCATGTATCACGAGGCGGGTGTGAATATATAGATAGATAGATAGATAGATAGATAGATATATACACACACACACACATTGTGATTCATATATCCATGTAATGTGTTATAGGTCATAAAGGCCTGGTATGAATGACGCGTGGTCGACATGAATGCATGCTTTGCAAGTTAGCAACTGAAGCAAGGAATTAAGGTCAAGGACTATTAGAACTCTTTGTGCCAAAACAATCTTATATTCCAAGAAAAATACGAAAAATCATCAAAAAAGGAAATAACATCAAATGGACTGATGTAAAATTGTATAAAAATTAAAGAAAATGGCACGCCTTAAATCATGGCGGCCCGCCCGAAGCTGTCTCTTTAAAATTGAGTGGGTAAAAGGCCTAGTAAACAAAGGCAAAAAACCGATGACGCAACAAAATGAACTATAAATGAATGCTTATAATTTCTGCAAATCAATGTCGTTTATTAATCCAGAGTCCCGTGTGAATATAAATGTGGTTTTGCCGGCTCCCAGCATCTTATGATCTTATCCAACAAAAGAAACCTCGACTGGCCATTGGACCATTCTGACCTTTGAACTCTGGTATAGTATGTTTGGGGTATAAATGTAAAGTAAGTAAGGTTTGTTTTATAATCAATAAAAAGCATTTAAAGTATGGTATACCAACTCCGTGACCAGTATCTGCGTGCTCCCCATCCTGTAGGAAAACCTCTATTGCCATCTAACAGTCCAACTGATTAGCTTAAACTTCAGCCCCATTAAATGATGCTCTTCCACAGGCTGTATGAATCAATTACAAAACCCTATCAAAGTTAGCCAAGGAAGAATCTTTTAAAGCCTTAACGTCTTAAATACCCCCTGCCTTGATATTAGCCCTGTAAAGCTATTAACCTCCTGCCTGGATTGCATTAGCGTAATGCAAGTCTGCTGCTAATCCTGTAACCACTGTACGTTTTGCCTTCGGTTTATAAGGGTTTTTTGTTTTGTTTTGTTTTTTTTAAAAAAGACTGATGAAAACGCTGCAGCCTCATTTGTCTTTCAGGTATGTACAAATGTTCGGAGGAAGAAAATGCTCGGAGCTCGGTCAATGAAATGAAGAAACAGGAGAGGAAGGAAGTAGTTTTACCTGCTTCCTGGACAATATGCTCACTCACTTGGTTTACAATGCAGAACTGCATTGCCTTATATTCTTTTCTATAACAGGAAGGTAAAGTTAGATTTAAAATGTAGTTCTTCTGATAGCTTTTCGCTGTGTTCTAGGAGACAGCCTGCGTCACGGCCTTCTGCTAACAGGGCCCAATCTAAAGCCCACAGGAGTTAACGAAAAGATTCCAAATGACTTCGGTGGATTTTGGATTAGACCCATAGTTGTTTACACTGACCTAGTGTCCCCTTTGTCCAGAAGGAGCCCAAAGCACTACACCATTTACAGGTCAGATTGCCAAATGCACCTTCCTATGCTGGCCACACCCCAGAGAGAGACCGAAGGCAAGATAGTGTGTTCCCATTGCTTCCCTCCCAAGAGCTTCCACCAAGGAAGGGGCAGCTTTAATTCCACCAGAGCTCTGTATGGGCTGCGTGGGTGGAAGCGGCAGCGGGGTTGCACTAAATGAACTCCTCATGTCCCAAACTATGCTCCCTCCCCAGGCAGTGCCGCCCTCTGGGAGGGGCTCTGCTGAGTCCTTGAAGGACGCCTCGCAGTGGAATCGTACTAACCTCCTTGCAGGTCCTGCTGCCTGGCACTCTGCACCCAGGTCTGTGTCAAGCTTGCTCCAGCCAAAACCTCACCGTGTATTTGGTCATATTTTATATAAACAATAGCCTTCCCATTCTCAGCTGCTGAAACGCCATCACCGCTGTAGTGCAACGTGGCCAAGTGTTGAACACTACCCAATAGTTCCGGGCAGGAAATGGAGAATTCCCATATCCAGCAAACCATAGGGAAGCTTTTACATAGGTGATTTAATTTTTATTCTGCCATTCCTAGCCCAATTCTGCAGCCTCTTGAGGTTCAGCAAGCTCAGATGAAATGCAGAGAAGCATCTGGATTTCCGGGTGCTTCCCTGAGCTTCCTTTTAGCCATTACTATACATTTCATGTCTTTGAGCACAAACTGCTCATTCCCATGTGCAGCAGCCAGGAGACTTGTTTTATTCACATTTTCACTTACCCTAGAAACGGTTCCCTATTGAATCTGGCTCTGCATCTCACACACACACCATGAGGTTTGGAACCAGATTCAAACTTCAGAACTGGAGCCCATCTCTTTAACAGGCCAAACCAGAACACCGTCTCTAAATGCCCCTGAGCTTTAGGAGAAGTTCAGATCTGGATCTAAACCCAGATTTGTACTTGGATTATCTCTCATTTACTCTGTTTTCCCCAATCTGAACAAATGAACCCAGTTCTCATCAGGTCACTTTCCTATGAATTTCTCACCTGTTTGCTCTATGATTGTTGCAGCCAGTCTATGGGGAATCCTGGATGGAAGTTTCAACCCTGCTCGTATCTGGTAGTATCTAGAGAAAATTTAAAAAAAAAATGCTGTTATACAGATGACTACTCCATTCAACACAAGAAAAATAGTTAGAACACACATTGGATATTTATGCGAGTTCAGAGAGCAAACATGCAGTATGCAGCTATGATATTAAGGAGAGCAGGTGGATTGGGCTGTTAAATATTGTGGCCCTAATTCTCTCATTCACACAAGCTTTATACAAGTTTAATTCCATTGACTTCAAGGGAATTACTCCTGATTTACACCAATGTGTGAGGAGGATTAAACACTATCTGATTAACATGAAGAGCCATGACAAGAAAAGCTTGCTTCAAGAAAAGAAGAGTGGGTAAATGTCCATGATGCAATGCAACCCGATTGGATAGGATGCACTGAAAAGTTAACACAAGTGAAAACACAAAAGAAATGTTTGTACATTATCCAACCTCCCTCCCTCCCGCTCCCCGCCCCCAGTTAACATGCTTCTATTCATATTATGATTATTATTAACAAGGCAACTCTATACGTATTTGCATGGCCAGGTAGGTCTAAGCCTACTTGCATTGTAGTTCACAGAATCATAGAATATCAGGGTTGGAAGGGAACTCAGGAGGTCATCTAGCCCAACCCCTGCTCAAAGCAGGACCAATCCCCAATTAAATCATCCCAGCCAGGGCTTTGTCAAGCCTGACCTTAAAAACTTCTAAGGAAGGAGATTCTACCACCTCCCTAGGTAACGCATTCCAGTGTTTCACCACCCTCCTAGTGAAAAAGTTTTTCCTAATATCCAACCTAAACCTCCCCCACTGCAACTAGTTATTTGCTTTCAGTGGGCCAAATCTTGTGCTACACCTACAGGCTCTGACTTTCGTTTTTGTCAGTGGATGCTCTCCTGCCTTCCAGTTTCACTGTGTGCCATGTATGTGCTCCTGCCGCTTATTGGTGGCTTGTGGGTGCTAAGCACCCCTTATTTTTTCAGTAGATTCTTGATCCCCGAAGCACCCACGGAGTCGGCGCTTCTGGTTACACCTATCAGGACAGTATCTGGCCAGAGAACAGCATTGGAAATTTTGCCTGAGTGAGAGTAAAGTGCACTGCAGGACTCTGTGGAAAATTTGCATATATCTGCATACAGCTTCGTATATAAATATAGAGGTATATTCCCCAACAAAAATCTTCATTAGCCAAGAGTAACAGGCACCATAGTCCAATAAACAGGGTCCTGCCCTGTAATTCAGGATATCTGGGTTCTGTTCACAACTGTCACTGACCTGCTGTGTGTCTTGGTGGAGTCATTTCACTTGTGTGTGTGTCTGTGTTTCTTCTCCTACTCTTTGCCTGGTCTATTTACATTATGAATTCTTTGGGGCAGGTATTGTAGGACTGTTCAACTTAGAAAAGACACAAGTAAGGGCACATATGATAGGGGTCTATAAAAATATGAATGGTGTGGGGAAAGTGCATAGGGATGTGTTACATACCCCTTTACATCTGACAAAAATTAGGCATCACCCGATGAAATTATTAGACAGCAGGTTTGGAACAAACAAAGAAATACTTCTTCACAGAATGCACAGTCAACTTGTGGAACTCATTGCCATGGGATCTTGTGAAGGCCAAAAGTATAAATGTGTTCAATTAAAGAATTAGATAGAGGATAAGCCCGTCCACATCTAGTAGTCAAGATGGTCAAAGGGATGGAACCTCATGATCAGGGTATCCTTAAAACTCCAACTGCCAGTAGCTGGGACTGGACCACAGGGGACAGATCACTTGATAATTGCCCTGGTATGTTCATTCCCTGTGAAGCATCTGGCACTGGCTACTCTTGGAAGTCAGGGTACTGGGCTAGTTGGACTACTGGTCTGACTCAATATGGCCATTCATATGTTCTTATGTCTGTGATAATGTGTATGTACAATGCCTAGCACAGTACAACCCTGGCTTCAGTTACTGCCTCTAGCTGTACATTGTGATAATTTTAGATTTAAAGGGTTTGTCACTGGAATCCAATCAGATAATATTTACACTCTTTACACAACTACTACATTTGTGTGTGTAGGGGGGGTGTTTTTATTTTTTGATGAGTATCTGGAAATGAACATTTCAGGAAGCCATCCAAATCCAACTTGACATAACTGCCATTGCACCCACCAGTCCCACCCCAATTCCACGACCCACCAAAATTACACTCTGTCCCTTTGTTCCATTCTGTGGTGGAGACAGGTTGGTGCAAGTACTTTAACGCATTTAGATATGGTTTATTAAACCCTTAGCAAAGATTTTAAGACCAGATCAGACCCACACACATTAAACCCTTCAGCATGGGGCTTTGTGGGGAGAAAAATCTCCATGGGGTTCCCTCACAGAGATCCCCATGCAAAGACTGGGGTTTGATCAAACCCTCCCTGCAGAAAAGGGTTCAGGCCCAGCCACCCAAACCTGGCAAATCCCTGAGGAGCTGCATGGACCCCGTGGCACCTCCACACCATCGCTGCCCCCTGGCACGTCACTGGCACCAGATATAGGTGAGACCTGCATGCGAGAAGCCCGGACTTCATTCACTCACACCCTACACCCCACACCTATTTTGCTGATGCATGATTGGGAACGGAGTGCAAGAGCAAAGTGCCTGATTTACACATCTTCCTTACACTGGTTTTAGACAGCTGCAGGACCACTGACTTCAGTCGGGGCACTCCTGATTTATCCTGGGACACGTGAGGGGAGAGTTGAACTGAAGGTGTTTAATCAAAGTGAAAATATAAAGTAATACAATTTTTTTAAATGATAACAACCTGCTTGCACTATCAGCAAAATCAAAAGTACCTTTCTAAATTAAAATATTAATATTACTACTAGCCATAGCTGATGGTTGCCACAAATAAGTAACACGACTCTTTAGTATACAGACATTAACTGATAACATGTTTTATCACAAATCCCTGTCAAACTGGACTAATTCCCAGTCTGACAGGGACTCATGTGCATAATCCTGACTGCATGTGCATCTTTCATAGGGAAAAATAAAATCCTACCATTTCGGGCTGCCTGTTTTATTCCTCTATGTCTAAAGATTCTCACTGTTCAGGAAACACTGGAAGGGATGAGCAACTATTCAGCTAGAAAGCAGAAAACGTTCAGACTGCACAGTTTTACCCTAGGATAGCATCTGAGCTCTCCTTAAGCAAACTCAGCCATTGCTTCAACAGCTCTGCACACTGCATCATTCCTTACACGCATTATCCTCCATGTTTAATCTGTACCACACTCCCTTTTCTTCATCTTTCCCCTGAGACATCCTGGTCTTTTGGATTTTACCCTTGCCGGTTTTCAAAGGAATATGCTCATCTAAAGCAATATGGTTGCACCAGTTTAAAGTTTGCATTGCTCTGTGAGACAGCATCCATTTCTCTTTTTTAAAAGATTCTAGATGAAGGACCTACAACTGCCTTGCATAGTATGAAGAGCATCCAGGCTCTGCACCGTTAAGGGTGAAACTACCTCTCCATTATAAAGCCCAAATCTCCACTGCCTTGCTCTCTGTATAATCATTTATTCCTGTGCCAAGTGAGAATGGAGTAGGAGTACAATACTACTGTGACTTTTACTTTGCACAGTTTCACAGGACAATCCAAGGTGCAAAACAGCCATTTCTGCAACATACCAGGTCACAGTCCAGACTAGTGGTGGGGTGGGGGTCCTGAGTCACCCCTGTCCTGCAACCTTTGGTACCTTACAATGCCTTGCTGAAGAAGCTCCCACCTGGGCTGCTCACAAACAGCCTTCCAGCATGCAAGCCACACCCATATCATGTGTGAGTAACTGTAGCCTGCTAGTTATGTCCCTGGCTTTCACCAGCCTTGGTTGTACTGCCAGGTGACCCCAACATGCCCCCAGTCCCAGATTTTCTTCAAGAAATGTATGTCATGTACTGCCCAGCACTCTGCTAGACAGTACACATATACTCAGTTCATTATTCCTTTAAGGGAATAATATTCCAGTTTATTACCTTAGAGTTACCTAGATACTTTATCTTAAACACATTGGATTATATACAACAATGAAACAAGTTTCTTAACTACAAAGAGATAGATTTTAAGTGAGTACAGGTAACGAGGCACAAAAGTCAGAAATGGTTACAAGAAAAATAAAGATAAATGCTTATTAGTATCTACTTAAGAAACTCTTAGTTGCAAAGCAAACTTTCTCACCACATGCTCCAGCAGATTACTGAGCAAATTTTCAGATCAGAACCTCTCTCTCAGAGTCCAATAGCTGTTTCCTTTTGTCTTCTCAGGTGTGGAGAATGAGTTGGGTAGGGAGATAGACAGGGGTCCCTTGGGGTGTTGGTCCCTCCTTTTTATAGTTTTAATACCCTTCTTGGAAAACATTTCCAGCTGAGACCCAGGAGACAAAGAGTCTATGTGGAAGGATGTTCCCTGCTGGTTTTTCATCTATTTGAACTTTCTTTGTTTTCCCTTCCTCTTTGATGACTCTGTTTACTGCTTAAATGCAAATTAAGGCAAGCACACATTCCTTTGTTTAGGACAGACCTGTTTGCCAATTTCTGGTTGGGCAGGGCTGTGGGGTTTGGAACATGTGTTGTTAACATCATACAGAGAAATCTTGTAACTGCACATACAATGTTGCCATACATATTTTATCAGAATAATACTGACCAGCAAATTATGAGTCTTCAAATGATACCCTACAAGGCATACCTTGTACACAGAGTATTATAACAGTGTGTAGGGTGTGAATATAGGAATGTATTCCATCACAGTTTCTTATCCCCCTAATGCTAACATAAATAAACCAATTCAGCTGATATTTCACAGGCATAATGGAGATTACAAACTCTTCAGGGCAGGACCTGTCCTTTATTGTGTGTTTGTACAGCATCTAGCACAACAGGCCCCCAGTCCTGATTGGGGCTTCTATATGGACTATGGCAATATCAATACATAACAATCCATATTATCTGAGGATAGAATGTTTCCAAAATGTTTGGGACCA